GACGAGGCGGTTCGAAATGATTCTTTCGAAGACTTTCCCCACCTCGTCGAGCAGCACTATGGGCCGGTACGCGGACGGAGAGTCCGCAGGGCGCCCCGTCTTCCGCACGAGGACCAGTTTGCCCGCTTTCCAGAGAAGCGGGAACTGGCCTCTCTCCAGACATGCGCTGTAGAGACCAATCAATCGAGGCCCGAGAGCCTCTGAGGCCAGGACCCATGCCTTGCCATGCAGGCCGTCGGGTCCTGGGGCGGTGTTCTTGGCGCCCATCCGGCGCACCGCCGCTCTCAATTCTGCCTCGGTCACCTCTGGGACGATGTCATCGTCGTCGTCGCTGTAGCCCGCGTCGGGCACCGCAGGGGGCGGAGTCATATACGGAGGGGTGAAGCCCCTCCACAGTCGGGGGAACAGGGCGCCAATCACCTCCTCCAAGACTTCTGGCCGGAGACTCTGAGTGAGCGGGGGAGCCCAAGCACGGAGCTTGTCGCGTACCATCAGGTACGGGCGTCCCCACGGGTCTCTATTCAGAGTCCCCAGCATCTCTCGGCGGGCCTCCTCCTTGGCCCGCAATATCTCCGCCTTGAGGAGGGCCTTCGCCGCCCTGTATCCCTCGTATAACTCCGCCTCTCTCGCCTCCGCATTAGGAGGACGGATACGGCGCCTGCGGTGCCTAGTGTACTGGCGTCGCGCAGTAGTGCACGCCTTGCGCAGAGCCGCCAGCTCTTGCGACCACCAGTACACCTGGCGCTTCTGTTGCCTCGACCGGATCCGGGGCATCGCCACGTCACAGATCCTGGACATGGCGTCCTGGAGCCACTTGGCCTCATCGTCAACGTCGGCAGGCCTGACCGGTGGTATCACCCAGGCCTGCACGATGGCGGCTTCCAGGAGCAGCTCCCGGTCCAGCTGTTTCAGCGCCCAACGCGGGCCACATGGGGCCTGTCTGACCGGCGGGTCTGCGGACTCGGCGGAGACGTCGAACCGGATATACCGGTGGTCGGAGTACGTCTCCACCTCCTCCATGACGCGCCAGCCAACAATACGCGGTGACAGAGCAGGGCTGGCGAACGAAATGTCCACCACCGACTCGCCCTGCATCCGCACACACGTGGGGACAGAACCCCGGTTCAGGACGACTAGGCCTGTCTCAAGGGCCCAGTCTTCCACCATCCTACCCCGGACGTCGGTGAACCGGGAACCCCAAGCCAAGTTTTTGGCGTTGAAGTCCCCGAGGACGAGCACGGGGAACGGAACCCGACGACGACAGTGACCAACTCCCTCAAGGAGTTGTGGAACTCGGCGAGAGTTCGGTTCGGAGAGAAGTACACGCCCACCACAGCGAGCTCTCCGAACCGTGCTGCGACACAACCCCGGCCTCTTTGAGCAGCCTCAAGAGTCGGGGTACCGGCGGCGGCCGACGAGATGATGGTCACCGAGCCGTCCAGGTCCGCCACCCAGTGATCCCTGGGCAGGACAAAGTACGGCTCGGAGACCACGGCGACATTGATCGACCACTGCGCCATGCTCTGGAGCAGGAGATCCTGAGCAGCGGCGCAGCGGTTGATGTTCGCCTGGAGGAGGCGGAATGGGGCCATTATTGGCAGTCCATTCCGATCTCCTCAGTGGCGGCAGCGGCGACTGCGGTGGCAGTGGCGGCGGCGGCGGCGGAAACGGCAGGGGCGGCGGAGGGCCTGCCTTTGCCCTTGGGTTTGGCGGGAGGGGAGCAGCCTTTGCTCCCGACCCGGTGATTGGCCGGCTTGCCAGCCGCCGCACATGCATTGCAGTGCAGCGGGGCGGAGCACGAGCCGGCCTTGTGACCGGGCCGACCGCAGCGGAAGCAACAGTCGCTGCGGTCCACCTCCGAGGTGCATTTGACACTCACGTGCTCCCCCACGTGACAGCGGTAGCACCTCAGAGGCCGGGTCTCGAGCAGCTTGACCTGCGCCGAGACCCATCCCACCAAGAGCCTTTTGCCCTCCTTCAGCTTCTTGGCCGCTGTGACGGGGCAGCTGACCACAACAGTGCGCAGCCCCGAGTTGTCCGGGCGGATGGCGCCTGCCTTAACTTGGTCAGCAGGGCACCCTCCCGTCCTGGCCACAGCGGCCACCACCTCACTCTCCGTTACGGAGTCGTCCAGGCCCAAGATCCTGACATCCAGGCATTTGGTTGGCCTGGACACGCGGGCCTCGTCCGCACCGAGGCACGCCCTAAGCCTCTCGGCCAGGGCGTCGGCCGATGGGCCGCTGGTCGCGCCGGGGACCTCCAAAAGACGGGCTCCGGTAGCGGTCACCTTGACCGCGAACCCGTCTGGCGCCCCGAACTCCGCAGGAGATACCGCCCCCTTCAATTTGGCGAGGACGTCGCCGTAAGTGACGCCCCTATTGACCGCCTCGGGCTGCAGCGTAATCACTACAGCCGCGGTCTTAGGGGCGAGGAGCAAGGCAGCAGCGCGTTTCTCCCTGCGCTGCTGCTGCCGTCGCTGCCGCTGCGCCTTTTGCGGCGCTTCCGGCCCTCCCTGGCGACTCTCCTCGCCTCGCCGGCGATTTGCCACCCGCCGCCGTCCTCCGCTCGCGGGGCGGGTTCCACCACCGCTGCCGCAACTCCAGCCTGCCGGGCTGGAGCGCCTCTCCTTCCTTGCGCCCTGCGGGCGCTGGCGCCGTCGGCGCAGCTGGGGTCTGCGCCGGCGGGGGCGCCGAGGCCCTCGCTGGGGCAGCCGGTCGCGCCCTTGCCGGCGGTTGGGAGCTGCGGCTAGCCTGACCCGAGGTCGAAGGCTTGGCCGCAGCGGCCGCGTACGACCGGGGACCGCGGGGGCGACCTGACTCGCCGCGAGTGGGGGGCGCAAGAGCCTGCCCTCCAGCACGTCGAAACGTCGCTGGAAGGCAGCCAACTCCGCCCGCAGCAGTCCGACTACGTCGGCCTCCGCCGGGGGCTGGGGGCGACTGCCGCGAGCAGCGGCGAGCTCGGCCCTGGCCGTCCGCAGCTCGGCCCAGAGCCGCATTGGAGGCTGCCAAGCGCGCCAGCTCTCGCCGCATCTCGGCCAGCTCGGAGCGCACCTTTCCCGCAGTGGGCACCGCACACTGCTCCAAGGCCGCCTCCGTTATTGTGGCCGCCGCCGCCCTGAGGAGGCGGAGCCTAACCGGCTGGGATTTCCCCATCGCCAGCTTGTAGAGCTCCGCCGTAATGGCCTGTTGGAGGCCCCCGGAGCAGCTCTCGCTCTCAGAGCCGCGCTCGCCCTCCGACATCTCCACGCCGGACATCTCGGCCGCAGAGGACTCCGACGGGCAGCGCTTGAGAGAGCCCTGCCCTCCGCGGCCAGCTGCTCGGCTGACTCCGCGCAGGCAGCTGGTGCCGGTTTCCGGCGACCGCTGCCTTGCCGCCCCTACCCCGCGCCGCCGTGGGGACCTTGGGGGAGGCGCCTCCTGAGCGCCGGAGGACGGGGACAAACTGTCCTCCTCCAGCCTGGGGCGTTTGAACGTCCCCGTCGCGCGGGCGTGAGCCTTCGAGCTCACGCTCAGCCGCTCCGCCAATGTTGTGTCGGACTCTGAGTCCGACCCCCTTCGACTAGACTCCCGTGTGTGGGGCCTGCTGGACGAGTCCAGCGCTCCACCACGAGTCCCGGAGCCACTTGGGCTCCCTTCTCCTGCTACTGCAGGCGAGCCAAGCTCACCCGCACTCTCCTCCTCCGACAGTTGTGGTTTTGTTTTGGTTTTTTGTAATTCTCCATACAGTTCCCACGAGTATGGGGGAAATATTCGGTCCACCCAGGCAGTGCCCCCTGTACCTGGGTAAGTGTTCGTTTGTTTCCCAACTAGAGGTTCCACTGGTCCCCTAGCTGGGGGTGCGCTCGCGACTGACACTACTCCTCAGCCATGCATACTCTCGCCGCGCACCAGAACTTAGTATTGGAGGAATTTTTTATAGAGGTTATCTTCCTCGCGGTCCGGGCGACCAAGCCAAGACCCTCGTCCCGTTCAGAGTCACAAAACATGACCGTGATCTCCTTACGGATTACGATATCGACGGCTGCAATCGGGGACAGCTTGTGTCCCGATGCTGCTCGCTGGCAGGGTGAGTGCACAACGAGCACCGCCTTTGCCTCTCCGCCACGCTCTCTGCTATGTCCAGAGAGACGGGCGGAGAAACACCCCTCGGAAGCGCGGGCTATGAGCCTCCGCACACAGCCCGCCGCCTCCAGAACCCTATCGGGTTCGCCCGCCCAGTCCAGAAATCTGCTGCGGGCGACAGTCACTCCAACCCTATCACCCCCGCTAGGGAGACTGTCGCCCGCACCCAGGGTGCACCACGGGGAGGTCTTCTGGCACCGCACCCCTCTAGCTTTACACTAGTAATGTTACGTTCTTTAAGATGATTACCTATCCATAAGCAAATATATGTTTTTAGTCTGACTTAATTATAAACGGTACAATATTATTTCATACAAAAGTTACTCTTCCAAAACTATATATTCGGTTACCCAAATTTTACTCAAAGGTGTAATGAAAACTGAAAAGTTTAGTGTACATTAAATAGTCGTTTTAAACTCTTTATAGCACGTAACTGGAGACTTTAACAACATTTTATGGTTAAGAATAGAACCTGCGTGGTCCCACAAGTGTCATGGGATCTTATACGGCAATGATACAAGTCTCTGACGGCACTTACATTTAATATCTTTTCATTTTAACTCATTTTTATAGGATTATAAATATAAACACAGTGGTTAACAGAAATACATTTTATTGATTATTATTAAAACAATAGGTAACTTCAGTTAAGTAGCAGTTACAAATAAAATATTTTGTAGGAATCGTTATTAGTATCAAATGAAAAGTACCACAGAATGAATGAATTAGTAATAAGAAATCAGAACCAAATTGCATAGTACACAGTACACAGTACCACGATACTATTATCGAAACTATTGTGATCTAATAATCGGCAAGAATATAAGCGGCAGCTTTCTCACCAATCATTGTGACTGCAGCGTTTATGTTACCACTGACTTCAGTAGGCATAACACTAGCATCAACAACTCGCAAACCACTTATGCCCTTCACTTTAAGTGTGCTGTCTACAACTGATCCCATAGCACAAGTACCTGCATAATGCCACATAGTAGATGACATTCCTAAGGCGTAACAATTCCAGAACTCTGTGCCTGTTTTACCAGTGCAAAGCCCAGTATCAACTAGTGTCGCATCAACGCTCTTGAAGTATGTTGTATTCAATACTGCTGCGAAATCTTCCAGGCATTCGACCATCAAGTCCAAATCAGTACTGTCACTGTATGTACCAGTGTATACTAATGGCTCCTCAGAAATATCGGCACTGGCAAGACTTACGTTACCACGTGAGTTTGGCATCATCAAATTATGTACTACGAACAGTACAGATCGGCCCACGTTAGCTTCATAGAATTTGTTGCATATATCGTTAGAGTATTTAAAAACGTTAGTGCAAAGTTGCATCATGGCACCTGAGTCGTGGGGGAAAACAAGATTGATAGTCTGATAATCTGGGTAAGTTTGGGTTGAATCAATAGCAGCATAGAAAGTGGTAGTTGGTACAGGGAATATGTATGGGTTGGCTGCTGGAGTAGTTTCAGTGCTAGCTTCCATTTGGATTAAGAGTACGGCTGATGGATGGTCCATTAAGTTTTGACCAACAGGTAAGTCAGCTACTACTGAAATGTCAAACGATTCCAGATGTGATTTAGGTCCAATACCGGATACCATCAACAATTGAGGGGAGTGTATCGCACCGGCAGATACAATTACTTCATTGTTTGCGTATAATACGAGAGATTCACCACTGGATGTACTAACTTGAACACCAGTTGCAGTCGTACCGTCGAACAAAATCTTTTGTACTTTGGTAGATAGTGCAACACATAGATTGTCAAAAGACTTAGCGCGAGCCAAGTAAGCAAGAGCGTTACTCTGTCTTAAATTGTCACCAATAGCGTACAAAGGATCGGCGGCACCAATTGATGAAGTTTTAGATGTTGTATCGTCAACCGTTGGGATTCCGAGCTCTGCAAAGGCTTCTAAGTATTTAGCACTTGTAGATGATGGTTCTCTTGCAATTTTTATCATACCATCAGTACCATGGAGGTCAGCGAAGGATGATGCAAGCAAATCTACGTCAGTCAAGTTTTCTAATTTCTTGAAGTATTGTAAAACATTTTCATAGTTCCAGGAATCATCTCCTAGAATAGATGCCCACTGATTGTAGTCATGAGGATCTCCTTGTACGTGTATCATATGGTTGAGGCTGCTGCTGCCACCAAGCATTTTCCCCTGAGTTAGACTAATAATTTGGTCTTGCAGATTCTGGTTAGCATACCCATCATTAACAGAAGATGTGTCGTAGTCAACAGAAGTTTTTGGTATCGGCGTGAACAGTAGCGGAAACTGTAAAAAAAAGATACAAGGAAGAGCGTTAGTTAAAAGTTACAAATGTATTTGTTAAGACTTGGATGATAAACAAAAACATGAACAAACTTACTTCGGTTTCAAGAGGTGGGTACGAGCCTTCTTCGATTAACAGGACTTTGTGGCTGGTATTAGCTGAGAGTCGGTAGGCAAGTACTGACCCAGCGCTGCCACCGCCAACAACAATGAAGTCATAAGAAGAAGCATCTGTGAGAAAATAAAAGAAATAAATATTACTTTCTGTTTCTTAAAGAGGTGAACAAAACAGATATGCTTATTTGACTTTCCCAATAATGAGTAAAAAATTGACTTAATTATTTCTTTTACAATGCCAACGTAGGTATATCCATTTGACTAATAAAGCTAGTCAATGCATTTCATATGCAAACTATTGCTATACAATGCATTGATGCAACTAATATAACAAAGTATAAATGTTGATGGCTACTTACTTGTCAGGGAACAATCGGATGGATAGCGGAAGGCCGTCAACTGCAATGCAGATAATACAGTCAGTGCTGACTGCACTGCTGATATGGTAGTTAGAGTAGTTGCTGCAGCGTCGCTCATGACTGAAAAAATAGAACGTAGTGAATCATGAGACAAAACGGTGCTGTATCAAGTTTCCTTTATTCAGTTTATTATCCAAATACAGGACTCAATTACTTTTTTATTTTATTTTTTATGGAATAGGAGGCAAACGAGCAGACGGATCACCTGATGGTAAGCGATCAGCGCCGCCCATGGACACCCGCAACACCAGAGGAGTCATAGGTGCATTGCCGGCCATTTAAAAAGGAGTACGCTCTTTTCTTGAAGGTTTGAAGGTCGTATCGGTTCGGAAATACCGCCGACGACCAATTATTCCACAGTTTTGCTGTGCGAGGCAGGAAGCTACGTGAGAAGCGCACAGTTGTAGCCTGCCAACCATCTATATGATGGCGATGCATATGCTGTCGTGAGGGTCGATGGCGAAAAGATGCGGCAGGTATCAGGTCAAACAATTCTTCAGAGCACTCCCCGTGGTATAAGCGAAAAATATTTTATTACTAGTTAAAAACTAGTACTACAAATTTTAACCACCTCAGGATGGTTTAAAAATTGTAATTCGAACTTTATGTCTATAATAGGAAAGTATAATTTGTTCAATACTAGAGGATAATGCTGGTGGAAAATTAAAAAAATAAGATACGAAGGAATTGTAAACTGTTGGATTAAACACGCTGGGTTAGTATTAAATTTATTTTTCATTTTAAACATTAAACACTACAAAGATAATAATGTTAGACTCTTTGCCTATCCTGGGGATGTTTAAACCCAAAGGCAAGTCAAAGAGTAAAATAAAAAAAATATTTTAGTTTGAAAAGAAGGTTTGGTTACTTACTTGTGATTGCTGTCACAACTCGAACCGAAGATGTCGATCATCTATCATGCCTCAGTTTTTATACCGAAATTGTACTAAACGATACATCTGAGGAAATATTTGCTCAAGTGCTTACTAAAAATGTCTCGTTTTTCAATTAATTAACTATGCTAATTATCATGTCTGCAAAATTAATTTATAATTGTTTGTACAGCATTGGCTCTTGATGTATCGTATCGATAAAAATTCTAAATGTATAAAAATAACTATCTCTTAAAGATGTTGAGCGTAAATTCTACAAAATCTTGCGCTTTAGCCAACTTCTTTAACTCCTCTTAGTTTCTTTTTATTATAAAAACATTGGTATATAATATCCAGATATGAAAAGGGCAACGCCCAACGCAAATAAATAGAATCGATTATAATAATTTATACATTTGTGGCACTCTGTACATGTAGTGTGTGTCAAATTAAATAATTATGACGATGAAACCATCACTAAGTAATATAAAATATTGCTAGTGTATCATGGACTCTTTTTCAATGATTATTCCGTAGATTTAACATTCATTTTATACTGGTTTTTTGAACATAATCACATCGACTTATGATGACGTATTTATATTTTATCGTAAAATCTTATAGGTAAGGAAGGGTTGCATGTAATTCTCGCAAATTTAATTCCTTACCTAAATTCTTCATCACTTTCATTAGTAACAAACACAGAAACAGAAAAAACAAAAATATTCACGTGCGCTGCTACTAACTAATAGCGTATTTGTGACCTCTTACTTATGGTCTATTATGTGGCGCATGAATGGTTTAAATCGACTCAGGGTTTTTTTGTTTTCTCCTTAATTATTAAACAAAACATTATGCTACAAGATCGAACTCATATCTTCTTTTCGACGGCTACACTTACAACCATTGAACCACAAAGTTCTGACCTTGTGTAAAACACATAACTGATGTTTAATGTTTTCATTATTGACATAATAATTGAAATTTACATTACACAAAGATAATTATGTTTTAAATATAACACACGCAGACGATAAATATATTGGATCTTAATTTGCAATATCAATAAATGTATATCAATAAGAATATTAATTAATATTGTCTTGTGAATTAATGTAATAAGTCACACGCGTTATTATATTTTTCAGAAGTTTTTGCACGTGAATATTTTTTTAATGTTGTAGATTTTCTAGCAATTTCTAAGTTTATACATATTATGCTAGGTTTCAGCAATTTTTATGGTACGAAAATTATTTTTAGTACCAAATGCTCAGTAACCACATTAAGGGTAAAGTTAATGTGTTAAGTAACTAATTTTAAATGACGCATTCAGCATATGCATGTATAACCAAGTTGTATATAATAATATGCTTATTGTAGTAGGTATTATACAACCCATGTACAGGTTTCGACGATAGCGATTAGGCTTTGACTTTTTTTAATTTTAGAAATGTGATGTATGGCGGTTGGTGGACGTTTTCAACCACTACGCCCTACGGTGTCAAAACGCCCGCTTATCATACATGAGAATGCGGGTTCAAAACCTACCAACAGCACTTGCTGTACTAATGTGATTTTTTCCGAGTTATGTGTACTTTTTAAGACTATTTAGACGCCACGTTTTATAAGTGTGGGACAGTCATGCTTTGGCACGAATGGGCCGGTTCCACCGGAGTGATACCACGGCCTCACAGAAAACCGACGTGAAGCAACGCTTGTGTTGTGTTTCGTCGTGTGAATAAGGTTCCCGGAGGTCCAATACCCCGGTGATGATCGATCGATGATGTGATGTGATGTGATGTGATGAGTCTCTCATCATAAGTAATAATATTACATTGTATATGCACTGCCTACTTTTTTGGGAACTACAAGAAGTGATGTAGTGTTGTTTTGTTTTTACATATAGCTCCTATCTACTCCTCCACTTACTTAATCTGAAGTTCAGTTAATATTATACAATGTATGACCTCTAATTTTCCTATATATTCACCCCGAGCGAGCTCTAAGTGTAACTTTGTGGTAAACCAAGCGTGGCCCGCAAATGGTCCAGCTAATTTATTTATTTATAGCCCGATATGGGGCAAGCTTTTGTCCGATATATGCTTTAATTACTGTGTTAATGTTTTCGATAATTAAAATAGGTTTTGTTTGTTGATTGAGATTACTTGAAAGTCATCTAAAATATTATGAAGGCAATTTGAGAAAAGTTTGTGTATGTGTGGGAGAGTCATGCTTCGGCACGAATGGGCCGGCTCGACCAGAGTGATACCACGACCGAGCAGAAAACTGACGCAACGTAAAACAATGCTTGCGTTGTCTTTCGTCATATGAGGGATGCTACCAGAGACACAATTACCTCCCTCACTCGCCAATTGGGGAGATTGATAAATAGGTCGCTGATTACCTAACAGTCCTCAAATTCCCAATCCCTAATAGGCTGGTAACGAACGTGTAACGCCTCTGGTATTCCGGGTGTCAATGAGTGACGCTTACCATCAGGTGATCCGTCTGTTCGTCCACCAGTTTATCCCATTAAAAAAAGCTTAAAATTGGCTAATGAAGACACGTGTAATGTTTGAAACATGAGGATAAACTGTAATTGTAATTACCTATTTACTGAGAATTACATCCAGGAAAAAGCTTTTGAATAGTTCATTCGTTTATTCTTCTGGACCGTTGCAATAATTACCAATTATATATTATGTTCTGATAAATAGAAAATTGAACAACTATAGAGGTAGAATACGTATACATTTTTCAGAATAACAGAAACATTTTTGGAATTAAAATAAATTTTGGAAACATCTAAATAATATCTTAAAGCTACAACTTGCGTTGTAACAAAATTACTGTTCCATTCAGTACCCAAAAAGCCAATAAATTACGCGATTTTTTTCCAAGACATTCCTAGGATATTCGTTTTAGAGTTCTAGATATTTCAATTCAAAATTCTAAGCGTTTGGCAAGCAACACCATCAATATTTCTACTGACAATTGTTTTTGTGTTTTTGTGCTTTGGCACCGGGACCCGAAGTGGCTCTTGATTTATATGTCGGTTTTCCAATTAGCTTTGGTTAGTAGTTTTATTTATCGGGGCTCTTTCCATTTTCCGCACTTTTGGGTTTGGTGTATAAATGAGTTTTATAGGATACGATACGATTTTTGTCGAAGAGATACACTCAGGTTGTACTGCTCCTGAGAATTAGTTTAGACTACTATACACTGCAAATTGCTTACCGAAAGCTTATACATAATATCTTCGACAATTAATATTCCTCATGATCGATCAACTTTTTTTGGCGAACTGGCGACCATTAGAATAACAAGACTGTCTACAATAAACAGACTAAATAAATAATTTTAGCAGATAAATCTGTTTCATGGATTTCGATACTAGATAGTTTTACAATCCGACACGATATCTATGTCGTTGGGCTTAAAATGCCTTATTTTCGTCTCTCGAAATGTGGTCACACGTTTTACTCTTATAGTAACGTATGTGAGTTTTGATTCACAACGAAAATGCACCAAACTTTTCTGTTTTTCTAACACGAGGTATCTTGTAAACACGGGCTTAGTGTGAACAATGTGTGGTTCCAACTTAGTCTAATGGGTTGACGTAAAATCAGGTCTTTTGAGTTCCAAATAAAATAATAGATTAGAGATTTAGATAAACCAGAAACAACCAAAGAAGTTAAGTGTGGGAGAGCAATGCTTCGGCACGAATGGGCCGGCTCGACCGGAGTGATACCACGGCCTCACAGAAAACCGATGTGAAGCAACGCTTGCGTTGTGTTTCGTCGTTTCAGTGAGGTTACCGGAGGCCTAATTACCCTCCCCTTACCCAATCTCTCCAATCTCTGAAACCCCAACGATCCTCAAACTCCTAATCCCCAAAAAGCCTGTAACGCACTTGTAACGCCTCTGGTGTTCCAGGTGTCCATCGGCGACGCCGATTGCTTACCACCAGGTGATCCGTCAGCTCGTTTACCGGCTTATGCCATAAAAAAAACAAAAGATCAGCAGTGAATTTTCACAGACTGATGATGGTGACGGCCATGGTTTTGCGCACTCAAACCTTAATTTTGTCCAAAATGATATCTTGTGCTTAGTACTCGGGTTTGCAACTACGAATGAACTCGCCTACGAACGAATGTTTACTTTAATGTTATCTATTAATGATGAA